TGTTCACTATAAGAAGCTTACATCTCATTCAGTCAGCATACACTGTTCTCTACAAGAAGCTTATATCTCATACAGTTGGCATACACTGTTCTCTACAAGAAGCTTGCATCTCATTCAGTTGGCATACACTTCTCTACAGGAAGCTTACATCTCATTCAGTTGGCATACACTGTTCTCTACAGGAAGTTCAGTTGGCATACAACTGTTCTCTACAAGAAGCTTGCATCTCATTCAGTTGGCATACACTGTTATCTACAAGAAGCTTGCATCTCATTCAGTCAGCATACACTGTTATCTACAAGAAGCTTTCATCTCATTCAGTCAGCATACACTGTTATCTACAAGAAGCTTTCATCTCATTCAGTCAGCATACACTGTTATCTACAAGAAGCTTTCATCTCATTCAGTCAGCATACACTGTTATCTACAAGAAGCTTGCATCTCATTTAGTCAGCATACACTGTTATCTACAAGAAGCTTACATCTCATTCAGTCAGCATACACTGTTATCTACAAGAAGTTTTAATTTATTTTAGTCAATATATAGAAACTACAATACTGCTATGGCAGTTTCACATCTTCCTGTGGGCATAGACCCAAGATGAATCCATGAATCTGTATGGGGATCATAACATTCAACACTATCCAGCATGAGTGGCGCTGTGTTCTCCTTGCTGTTTGTACGACCTCCAACTACATACAACAAACCATTAATGCTCGCCACCGATGCACCAGCTCTGGCAGTTGATAATGGTGCCACAGTGCTCCATTTTTTCTGTAAGAATAAAGATTTGCATTTGTATGTTTTAGAGCCGCACTATGAGTATGTGTGAGTGTATAGCAAACATTTATCTGCAGTTGTATAAGTTGTCAACTACAGTTGGAATCCTGTGTACATATACCGGTATATAGATCTTGAGCTATCATTACTTCTTATCATGGTAATTAAAGATGAGTTACTAAAAGGGGACGTTGAACAACAAAAACAATCTATGCTGCCTGTAACTCAAAGTTTGGTTAACTATTAATTGAACATTGAGTTAAAATTAGGGTGTACATCTTTTTGTAAAAGTGGTGTGGTTTCTAAAATATTGGCATGGTAACTCAATTCGGCTCAACAACAGCATTATATTAGGATATGCACATTTTAATGATGTGCTTGCATCAACTTGACCAAAATATGATCGAAAAAAACTTTAACAAAAACTAACCTCTGTGACTGAATATCTTTCTACTGTATTGAGTGCACGTTTTCTATCATTCCATCCACCAACAGCATAGAGGCAATCATTGAGAACACCTAAAGCTACGCTGGTCCTCCGTGATTTCATGTCTGGTAGTTTAATCCAGTCCTGAGTGATGGGGTCAAAGTATTCAGCTAATCTCATTTCAGTGTTCAGATCAGAGGTACCCCCAACACAGTATATATTACCTGAAACACATAGATAACATTATTAACATTATCGTTGTCTGTATTCACAATACATTTAGTGTCCTTGCAAGACATCTGACAGACTGTTGACAGTTCGTCAGACATAACTTCCACAAAAAATAACAATAAATGTAGTATTCAACTGTCTAGGTCTTACATGTACCAGCAGTGCTGATGAAAAATTAAATTAAAAAAAAGCATAAAGGTTCTTATTCTTCCTAACTGAGTTTAAATTTGATTTTAATTATTCTTTTGTCTTTTTCACTTTCAAACACATATAATTGTGATATCTGAGCCATGAATTCTCAAACGAATCACTGATTGAAGATATAAATGATGGAGACTGTAGTTTCCTGCTAGGTGTGCCAAAAAGAGGTATCCCTTAGATGTTTTCATTAAAACAGAAGCAATTAAAATAATACAAAACTCATCAAATGTGTTCTTAAAAAAACTTGGTTAATAACAAAATAAGAACTCAAATGGTACATAAAAGTAACTTCCCTATTAGAAATTGAAACGGGAAGCGAAATAAACCACTCAAAAATTGAAGAATCAATAAATGTGTATCCAAGTAATTTAGAATATTGAGAAGCGTTTTGACATCAAGCCAGAAAGTACAAGGATTCCATACACACGGCGGACGATCATAGCATTGTCTTGTTTACATATACTGGTAAGCATCTACCTGTGAGCCTTCATTGACTAGTTTTTAGTGTTTGGTAACATCGCTCTGTGCATCCTTGTGCATATACAGCTGAGAACTCCTTTGCAAGAGACGAAGCCAAAACAGGTGTTCTTGTACAGGATAAACTGATATCTTTTTTTTTTATCAAATTTTGTTTTTATTCTGTCTTTATTCTCTTTATGTTGTTGTTTTTGTAACCATTGCTATCCAGCTGAGGAATGTGTAAGTTCTAATAGTGATATCAATCAATTTGGGCGAAAAACAAACAAATTAGGCCTGTTAGAGTGTCAACATTGAAACATTGAAGTCATGTGATACTTAAAACAGTACAGGGCAGGGCAGGAACACAGGCAAGCATGTATGCTTATGATTTCTTTGTTTATATAATGTAAAGTCAAACTCAATTCATTATTAGTATACCTAATTCCCTGTGAATAGTAATTTTTTATGAAATGTAATCATACAATATACAGATAGCATGTGAAATTCAAGATTTTTTTTATTGTTGATTTTTACGATACACTGTGGCATAAAATCTTAATTTATTATAAACTGCATATATTTTCCAGATGCATATTTTTGCAGTTTGATATGAAAAGTTCCCAGATATTCACTGCAGTTCTTTATGTAAAGAGTCACAGTAAATAACTTACAGTATATTCTATTATCATACACCTAGCATCCAAAAATAAAAGAATTTGCCGTTCTGTAAAAGGGGTATCCAAAACGTATAAGCAGTGAAACTATGTCATTAAAACATTGACGTCTCGGGCAAAGTGAACATCGTATCGACATCTGGCATACTTTGTGGTATTTATTTTGCGGTATATAAACTTTTACATTTTTGCATCTAATACTGATGATGTGTGAATAAATAGTTTACCGTCCAACTCCGCAATTCCAAATGATATCCGGAGGGTTTTCATGTTACCAATCACACACCACTTTCCAATGTCTGGGTCATAGCATTCTATTGTCTTTCCCATCTCAGAACCTATCCACCCACCAAAAGCATAGATAACCTGTCCTATTGTACAAACTCCTAATCCGCATCGAGGCACCGTTAATGAAGGGGCCTCTACCCATTGGTTGAGACCTGGTTCATATCGTTCTACGCTATCGTATATCAGGCTGTCACTTTCACCCCCTATTGCATAAATCGAACCTTCCACCACAGCAACACCATGTCCACTACGGGGATAAATCAGAGATGACTTTATGCACCACACCTGATTAAACGAATCAAACTGCTCCACCGCACTCAATGATTGGCTGTCGCTCCACCTACCACCTGGTGGGTAGCAGTAACCACCAATCACATACAAGTGTTTCATTGCACTGAGTCTGGGGCGAACTTGAACCAATGTTTTCTTTGATAGTGACCTTGTTGGCTTCACCTGCTGAGGTTTTCTATCCGGGTTGTATTCAGCCAGCAGCATTCCTAAAGCAACTCGTAAACTTAGATCCTCACATGAGTTGATATATTCAAATAATTGCCTGGGAGAAATCAGTGCGAATCGAACCGCATCCAGTATCTGTACCAGATACTTGCGTCGTTTGCCAACATCGTGTAAAATCCAGCCAAGAGCAGCGAGAAATACTTGGTATTCATTCTCAATTCTCAAATTTTCGCTTCTCAGTAGAGTCACTAAATCATCCATTTTTATGTCGAAATACTCCTCCTCCTGGCACACTTCCAAGAAATGTAAACTCATGAAGGCTTCAGCAGCCCTTTTCAAATCTGTGCAAAAATGTATCTCAGCAAACCTGGAAATGCCTATGCAATTAGACGAGTGAAGTTGAGATTGTAGAAAACTGCTGCAAGCCTGTACAACTTCTGGAAGTTCAAGCATGTCTGCTGCAGATAACAATTCTTGGACATTTTCAGAAGTGACTTCAACTTCACCTGCAAAATATTAAAAGATGGTGCAGTGAACTGCAGTGTATTACAAAAACACGCCATACAGAGCTCCTATATAGGTAATTGGTCACTCACATGACTGCAAATTATGGCAGACTTCCAATTTACATATATTCACGGTTACTAAAAAAGTGACTGTGATATCAAGTACTGTACATAGCTCAGTGCATTGGAGTCAACTAGTAAGTACCAATATCAGGGGCCTAGTTTTTAGGAATTGATCGTTTCTCAAAACAGCTAAGAACTACAGAAATACTGGATGGACAAACAAAACCCAAACACATGAAATTTAACAAGCTGGCCATTATATAATTGAAATAAGACATGGAAAATAAAATCTTTTGTTGCTGTGAATGTGTGTGTGTTTGTTACATACAAAAGTCAAATACATGAATGAATGGGCATTTGAAAAAAAAGATCCTGTTATAGTGGAACAGAGATAATCTACTTAATAAATTGGGACAATACATTTATTACAGTATCTTGTTCAAAAGTGACTCATGATTATTGATTTTGACACAAATTTTTGTGTTTATTTTCTTGTCTATGGGAAGCTCTTCTGTGTTGATGAAAATCCTAATATCTCAAAATAACAAATTTAAAGACACCAAATGTAGCAGAAATGACTAAGATACCATCACAAAGACTATAAAGACCGACACAAAAAGAGATATGGACCAAAAACTAAATTATATCTAGGTTTTGTGAACAACAGCACAAAACTCAACAGGTTTGTAAAAACTATTTGAATATATTTTAATATTTTCACATTAAAATATAACATTAAAATGTAACAAAACAAATATGACAGCATAAAGGATTGTGTATGAAACTTTTATATGAAAATGCAGTGACATATCATGAAGATCTCACTCTTGTACTTCACGAACATTTGAAAACGATCGCAGTATGTGTACGTCATGTATTCAATTGTGTAAAAAGAAATGCATTTTAGTATTCATAGTTATATATATATATATCAAGTCATAACCCATTGCCAAATATTACTCGTCCACAACATTATTGACAGCATGTTTAAAAATAATCTATATTTCAAATGCATCTGATTAGACACAATGAACCAGTGTTTCCGCTACCGTTCGCCAAATCGCCAAGTGGCGAAAAAAAAATCAGAATGGCTAATATAAAGTTTCTCCAATTCGTCATTTGGCGAATTTATCAGGGTACGCTTGACAGTTTCGTAGAAGGACAAGTAAAACCACCTCCTTAAAAAAAGACAAGTCTGAGGCTGATCACGAAGTTGAAATAAATTTCAAAACGGATGATAAACCGAAGAAAAATCAAGGTCCTGAAAGTACCAAGAAAATGGGAAGTCGTGTCAACCATGGAGCTAAAAAAAGATAGCTCCATGCGTCAACCGAGGTGTGCA